AGCAGTCTTGATGATATTTACTAGTTTTGCTCAAAAGGATCCAAACGCAAAAAAAACACAAACTGCAATGAAGTAGATGCAAGTGAGTCAAATTTAATTTCTCCATTGAAAGAGGCAGAGTGTTTGGTTTTCTGTTTTCCCCACCAGCGTCACCACCACCCAGTCTAACATGAACTACTAAGTCACACATAAAAATGTCAGTAAACTTGTACGTCACTTTTTTCCCCCTCCCCCCCTCACAGAATGTAGGTATTTATCTGTGCAAAATAAAATACTTCAAGACTGAATGGATCAAACGGAACACAGATAAAACGGGGCAGAACAAAAGGTGTCGCCTCCGTGTCGCTAACTCTCCTAAACAAATAAATAAATTCAACATCAAATGGGGTTTTACAGAAGGGACCGGCAATCGGGGAAAAAAAAAAAACAGGTGCTCTTTAAACCTTAACATACACACACACGGATTTTAAGCATCCTCTCAGGTTTAAGCGAAATTTCTGTCAGGCAATTCTGTAAATGAAACTCCTCGTCTAGTGCAGCTTCGGGATTTCCTCGAATACAGTATATGTTCCTATATGTTCTAGTACTTCTCTCGAGTGTGATAATTACCTCGATAGCAAACGGGGGGGTGGGGGGTGGGGGAGAAATCTGAGTGTAAGGAGGCAAACCAAGTGGACTCGATGTGCTTTCCCGGGAGCAGTAATCAGGATTCTGTTCGATGGTGCTGGTATCTTTTCTACCACAGAGCTCACAGAACACATGCATTATTACAAGTTAAAGATTTACATTTTGGAGAAAAAGGGAGGCGGGGGGAGAAAAAAAAATAAATGTAGATAGTAAGGTTCTCTCTCCCAGAGCCTGCAGTGTCCGTTCTGAAGAGCTCCCTCTGTCTCTACTTCCCCCTCACTCGCTCACTCGCTCGCTCACTCACTCATCTTCATCATCCTCTTCCTCGCCGTCGGAGAGGGAGGCACAGGGGCGGATCTGGCGGTATCGGTCCAACCACTTCTCCACCATCTGGGTGACCAGGGGGTGGTTTCGGCGACGAGAGCTCTTCTGCATGGCTGCCAGCATACCTCCTTCTGTCACGCAGCAGTCCAGCCATTCCCTCAGCAGCTTCTCCTGCTGCTCCTCGTTGCCCATCTGAGTCACAGACAAACACGCCGTTTTACTCATCACGGAACAAAAACGGGACGCATCCGAGCCGTCCAGCAACTGGTGACCCGACCCCGTGAGCTGTAGATAAGGCTCGTTGTGTTTCCCGTTATTTACCTTGACTACGGCGGCCTGCCACCGTTTCATAACGGACTGAGGCGTGTCCAGACTCTTACGTCTGATAAATCTAAATGTTATATAGACTTTGGATCATTTATGACTGTGCTGTTTTCGAGCAGCCTTACGCTACAATGTGAAGTCGTTGCTGCCGTGCAGTTCTAGGATGGGCAGGAAGGCAGAACTCAGCACCTGACAAACCCTTGAGTCAGGCACTGCTGTAACCTCGCATGAACTTATTTCTCTTTCTGGGGCAACAAACACATTACGCAACATTTAGATCACCGGCGTACTGAAAATGTAGGCCTATCTGCTCACTTTATTGCTGATTATAGGAACCCAATCACCTCCGTCGGCTGCACTTTACTCCACTTAGAGAGTCACTCACTCACTTCTTACAACCAAAGCTCACTGGAGCTACATGAGACTACCCCTCATCATCATCATCATCATCATCATCATCACTTCCTATAATGGGGATATACACTCTGGCATGTTTTGCATTTCTTTAAACCAATCACAACTGTCTTGGCTACAAGAATTGCTTTGGTGGAGGCAAAAAACTTAATATTATTCACTAATTTATTGAATTTAAATTGTAAAGTTGATCATGTATTTATCAAAGTTTGTAAATACTGTCTACTGCATATATATTTTCCTGTCTAGTTTTACTAAAAAAATACCCATATTTTTCACCCATTTATGTCCTCATCTTTGTTTACGACTAATTTACAGTAACCAAGGTGACGTGTATCAAGAACTACTACAGCTCACAAGCTACTGAGAAAATACTGTACATACTTTCATGTCTGGTGACCTGCTAATTATGTGACAAACTCCCTTTTCGTACATGAATTGAAAAAGTTCTTAGATGCTTTGGTCAGGGGGGGATATAAAACTACAATCTGACCCCTACCTCTTGTGCAGACAGGAAGTGAATGTGCAGCAGCTTCCTCTCGC